GTTTTAAAAGAGTAAATATGTCCAAGTGCAAGACCATGTTCTTGCATGTAGTGTAGGTTCATTAACACCTGAGTTTCAAGATAACAGTGGACCTTGTTATTCCTGCTTACTCCGAAATTCTTCATCTTACATATAGTGTGGATAGGTAAGGTTACCATTTTATGACCCTCATTATTAAGTAAGACAATTGTTACCTAAAGCTTTTTTTTAAAATAGTTTATTGTCAAGTTGGTTTCCATATAACACCCAGTGCTCATCCCCACAAGTGCCCTCCTCCATGCCCATCCCCCACTTCCCCTCCCCCCACCCCCCATCAGTCCTCAGTTTGTTCTCAGCATTCAAGAGTCTCTCATGGTTTGCCTCCCTACCTCTTCCCCCCTATTTCCCCCTTCTTCTCCCCCACAATTCTCCGTTAAGTTCCACCTAAAGTTTTTTAATTGCCAGAGATATTTCCATATAAAATTTTATGAGGAAGTCCAAAATGCCACTATACTGAATGTAGTTGAAGTAGTTTGAAGCAATGGGGTGGTGGTGTGTGTATGTGGGCATGATTTCCTCTCTCACTGTTAATGGTAGTCTGAAAATCTTCCACACTGAGCTCTTAGGGCTTCAGTAATACAGTTAAAAATTACTGAAATAAGGTCTTATTATGCTATTTAAATGCCATTCACAGTAAAATTTTTTTAAAAAAGTAATATGCATTCTACAACCAGAAAACAAAAGAAAAAAGCAGCTCTTTTTCACCCACCTTTTCACACGGAGTAACCCCATTGATAATTGCTGTGAGCTATTGTCTTCAAAAGGGTAGCTCAAATGTCCCCAAAGCTTTTAAGATCCCCATAAACAATTGCCAATTATTCACTGATGTGTAAGATCAATAGATCTGCGAAAATGAAGGAGACACCCCTACCAATATTTGGTCTGGCTCCAAGAAGCACTGTCAAAATAGATTTTTTTTAAAGTGGAAAGTCAATATCCTTACTGAGGGATATTACTAGATCCCTCTGAGGTCACCAAACCACTGCAAACCACATGATTTCTGGGGTATGTAAGCAAAAAGCCACCATAAATATAAGTAAAACTTTGTATCTGGCCTGGGATCAACTTCAAATTCCCATATGAACTTCACTTGATAAGCTGAATTAAATGGATATATTTGAAGACATCTAAACACTCTCTTGGCCAAGTGTCAGAGAGCTCTCAGTAGTATGCCCTGACTCACTTTCCCTGGGGTTATACCCAGGTCCCAGATGGTCTAGCAAGAGGACAAGTATTGATAAATGCACAATTTCAAGGGGCTCTTCATACATACCCCAACCCACAGAAAAGGAAGTACAAAATTCACATAAAAAATAAAATTCCCTCCTCTTATCGTCTCTCACTGAAAGCTCTAGTCCTACTTTACCTACATATTCCTCTACCATCACCATTTTGTTCTCTTCAGCATCTTTGGAACTCCCTGATAGCCTGGTTCCATGATCCGAGTGAAGGACTAAAGTAGATACAGTCCTGAGTTCTTGAATTGCTCAAGTGTTTGGCCTACACCCCTTCACAATTTTTCTCTTGGGATTGGCATCTAAATGTATTTACATTCTGAGGTATTACTTTTAAATCCAAAGAAAGGATCAGAAAATCTGAGCAAAGTGTTTTGTTTTATTGTTTTTTAATGTTATTTATTTTTGAGAGAAAGAGAGTGCCAAGAGTGCAAGCAGGAGAGGCAGAGAGGGAGGGACACACAGAATCCAAAGTAGACTCCCTGTTCTGAGCTGTCAGCACAGAGCCCCATGTGGGGCTTGAACCCAAGAACCGTGAGATCATGACCTGAGCCAAAGTCGGGTGCTTGACCAACTGAACCACCCAGGCACCCCAAATCTGAGCAAAATCTTAAGAAACATTTTCTCCAGTCTTTGACACTGCTTTGATGCATCTCCATAGAACCAATGGTATAAATATTTAGGCCTCTCACAGTCTTTCCATGAACGACTCTTTAATGTTACTCCCAGAAGTCATTAAATGAATCAAGACATTACTTTAATTGTTTATCCTAGACTACCCATGTTGTCATGAATACAGAATGTCTATGGAGTGCTAGTCCATAAAACGATCCCTGGAAATGGAGATCCTTGGGCAATATCTTTAGAAAAGACCACCCTCCTAGGGTTTCATAATGCACAGTAACATTTCCTTTAATCTGAGTAATCCTATCAAAAAGACATCCAGTTGGTTTTTTACAATCTAGGCAGCTCCAGTTGATTTGACTACAAATGGTTTTTCTTCAACATAATACCAAATTAACTTACCATGGCACTAGTATACTTAGCATATGTTTTAATAAATGCTAACTTTGTCAAAAAGCCACTTATATTCTATTTCTGAAGACAAAGTGACCACACAAGAAGCTTTTGCTATGCACATTAGAAAAAACACTACCATAATTCAGATTATAGAATTCCAAAGGAATAAAGCTGCTTCCTCCTGTGCCTCACACAAGTTAACTCCATAAACCCTCTCTTTTGAGTCGATCTGTTGTAAACACACCTTAAATTTCTAATATAATTAATATTTGTATTTATTGCTTTCTTCCTAAAATTCAATCTCACAAAATATACAAAATGAATTTCACATTAATATTCCAAGGTAATTATAAAATAGCGCCTATCCCTCACATTCATTCTGCTCATTTCTACCTACTGGTTTTCACTTAATGGTATGGTTGCAGTGAAGGTGTCTTCTCTGCTCTTAAACTATGGTATTGATGCAACTTTCTCAAGTGTCTACTGTGTCAGACTCTTCTTATTCAAAGTCCAATATGGTTTTAAAATTCTTATAGTTTGTCTTTTATTCGTCCTATCTATACCAAAGCTTTAAGACTTAAAAGGACTTGAATTTCAAAACAAGTCCTAAGAGTAAATACTATTTTGATATCATGATTTAAATTAGTATTAATCAAGCAAAATAATGTTTGTCAAACCTAATACATATAATATCACCTACACTTATAGTACAGTTTATACCTGTAGACCAAAGCAAATACATGGTGTTTTTTGGGAGAAATGGCCAGACAGAAAAACTGAAGGACAGAAAACCCTATAGGTTAAAAGAACAGCTTTAAGGTTAGTTTCATTTTTCTGAGATGTCAATCACTTTCTGGCAGGAGTCCAGAATCTACTCTGTGAGAATTCCAAGTACAATTGGGAAAAATTTCCAAACAAGATGTTACTATGAGACCGTGATTCTCATATCTTTATTAATGTAGGTCACAATTTTCTTCTCTCTTGAGACTAGGATTTGAAACATCTCAATATACTAGGAAACTTAAAATTTATGACTGTGGCAGCATTTGCATCTGCACCTTTCCTTCTATTTCTTTTAGGTCCACCATGTATGTTTAAAAATATTTTGGTTACCTTTAAAGCATTCAAGATTCCTTCCATGGGCTGCATGACACTGTGTAATTGACAATAATAGGCAATTCTCAAAGCAATATCTTTGGCATTCTATCCCCAGATATTCCATTATTCTACTCTTTTCTTTGTATTTTTTCTAATCTGCCAGCTTCCCTTCCTGTCTTAAATATATATTCTCTTTACCATGTCCAAGACTTTTGAGTCTGTCTTATGCTAGAGAATTCTTTAAGCCATCAGGATAGCTCTTTCATGGTTTTCTACTTTAACTCAGCAGAAGAATTCTTCACCAAAAATTTCTAAAGAGGAAATCCTGTTCCAGTGTTTTTCAAGAATACGTTCTTGGAGTTCTAGCGAGGAGAAAAATCTTTACCCCCACATGTCCCTTCATCCTCAACTGTGGATTTCCTGTATTCAGGGTGATCTTTTGTACTTCGATGCTATAACAAACATCAATTTCTGCTATAATAAGATATCTCTTTACTTTCTCAAGTATTTCTCTGTCAGTTTAATACTTTAAGAAGTTTTGCCCATTTCAAATACTTCTTTCTCATATGCAATGTTAACGCTATGGCCTATATTTGAATTTATATTATATTTTGGTATGCCAATACCAATTCCTGAAGGCTCTTTGTGTGAAAACATATTCACCCAATGTCTATAAGGTCTTCTTACAAATATCAATTTCTCCAGCATGAATCTCTCAACTGCATTAAGAATTTGCATTACACTATAGACGCTTGCTGTCATAGAATGAAAGCTGATTGGCAATTGAAAACAACAGTTCAGCCTACTTTGTGAAAGAAATCTATTAAACTGATTTCCTCCTACCTCCAGGTAACATCATATCTAGTTAACTCTAAGCATGCATTAATCATCATATCTGTCCTTTCTTCCCTAACCCAATGTTCTCCACATTACTTTGAAAAGACTGAAGGGAATTAATCATTTTGTTTTTATAATATTTGTGTAAATATAAATTGTTTTAAGTAATCATAGTCCAATGTTATTTTTGTAAGTTCAGGTTATCTTTCCTTTGTTGTTAATTCTCCTTCCCCTTTCTGCCAATGAAAATGGAAAGTTTATTCTATTTACTACCTGTTATTCCTTTCCTGCTGTCTGTTCTACTCACCTAAAAATTCTTTCCCAGGCAGCATGGGAACTACCATCTTCAACTATTACCATTTTCTTACCACCTCCTTTCTAGGGTAGCTGAGTAATTAACTTTTGCATCAGAAAGGCTTGGATTCAGATCCTGTCTCTCTTCTGTTACAAGTTATTCGAAAATGAGGAAGTTAAGTTTTCTAAGTCTCACATATAAGAAAAATTATGGTAATTATTACTTAACTAATAGGATTACTGTTCTGCTCAAATGAGATATCCTACAGCAGACGTAGAGAAGAGTCTAATATTTCTCCATTTTCTTGATGTAATTAACTGATCACCAAAAGGTAAACACTAAAATGTTGAATTTCTAAATCTTGATCAGAAGACTTTCAGTAACTGATGTTCAAGTTGTAACTGGATGTTAATGTTAATACTAATGAGACTATTTATTGGTTATACCTCTGATGGCTGCTTATTCTTTAACATCAGTAGGAAACACAACCAAGGGTATTGTGAAGAATGAGTTCATCACTGCAAATGCAACAGTGACACATCCTCTACTTTCAAATGTTTTAACAACACAAAGTTCCCAACACAAAGGTAAGTGTAAAGATTTATTAAATTTGTATGTTGGATAGTATTAAATTCAGAACATTTTCCAGCCCACAGCTACCGAAGAACCATGCCCCACCTCTCTTATCTGGTCTTTACCAAATTGGACAACCATTTGGCAACTTGGCTTTGTACCATGATACTTTATCCCTCCATAGCTGCAAATGGGTCAGTGCCAGGAAAGATCAATTCAAGGCCAAACAGTAATCTATGATATCCCCTGAAACAAAACACAAAGGGTGAGCTTGGCAACAAATTAGAAAACTTTGATGAAATGGGAACATTCTTAGAAAGAAACAAATTGCTAAAATTGACTCAAGAAGATAGCTAGTCTGAAAAGATATAAAAACAATTAAAGATATTGCATTAGAAATTTTAAATGGTCCCATGAAGAAAGCTTCAAGCAGGATGGCTTCCATTATGAATGCTATATATTTTCAAAATAAATTATACCAATGCTTCTCAAATCCTTTCAGGAAGAGGAGGAAGGAACACCACAGAAGTAATTACTTGAGGCCAGATTTATCCTGTTACCAAAGCTAAAAAAAGAATGAAAAATCAAATAAAGAAAACAAATATCTTTAATGAGCATTGATGCAACTATTCTTAATAAAATATTAACAAAACAACTTTTGTAATGTATAGAAAAGGATAGAAAACATAAATAAGGGAGATTTATCCAGGACTGTATGAGTGCATTAATACATGAGAATCAAGTAGAGCAATGTACTCTATTAGTAGAGTCAGTAGATGCAGAAAAATCATTTGACAAAATTTAACCCCCTTTTAATTAGAAATTTCAGTAAACTAGAAATAAAGTGTAACTTCCCCAAACTAAAAAGGATAACTGAAAACATCATGCTTAATAGTTAAATATTTCATGGTTTCTTCTTAAGATCTTGAACACAGCAAAGATGTCCATTCTCAACACTTCTTTTCAAAATTATAACCAAAGGTCCTAGATAGTACAATAAAGTGATGGAAGGTAGATAGATAGATAGATAGATAGATAGATAGATAGATAGATAGATCCATTCATATAGATTAGAAAGGAAGAAAGAAAACACTTTTTCTTAGCAGACTACATCATAATTTATGTAGAAAATCAAAAAAATTACAATCAAACTACTAAAACTAGTAGACTATTTGCTATCACAAGATATGATATATAAAAATAAATCATATTTCTGTATGTTAACAATGGCAATTCAGAAATAAAATTAAGGAAATAGCGACATTAACAAAAGCATCAGAAATAATAAAATATTTACGAAATATTTAACAGTAAAAGTGCAAGATCTGCACAATGAACTATTGTTCAGTGAGATATTAAATATCTAAGTAAATAGAAAGACATCACATATTCATGGTGAAAAGACTCAATATTTTAAGATGGCATTCCCCCATTGATAAACATTTGATTAACTTATTCAATTCAGCTCCTATCAGAATCACAGAATCACAGCAAATCATTAGAAATTGGTAAGCTGATCCTAAATAATATATGGAAATGAAAAATACCTAGAATAGCTAACACTATTTTGTCAAGGAAGAACAAAGTTGGAGGACTTACATAAGCTAACTTCAAAACTTACTCTAAAGCTAAAGTAATTGAGACAGGTATTTTTGAGATAATATTAATAGGAACCATATTCATAATAGTCACACTGGAAACAATCCAGATGCCCATTAACTGATGAGATGGAATATTCTATTGGCTTTTCCACTTGAAATGGATTTGGAATGCTCTAAAACAGGATATCCATAGAATGGACTACTCTTCAACAATGTAAAGGAACAAATTAATGATACATGTTGTAATACTACGAACCTCAAAACCATTATGCTCAGTGAAAAAAAACCTTTTACAGAGCACCACATATTTTATAATTCCATTAATATGAAATATCCAGAATGGACATTCTTATAGGGGCAGAAACCACATAAGAAGTTGCCTAAAGCTGGAGAAGTTGCCTAAAACTGGGGATTGACTGCAGAAAGTAGTAAGGGAGTTTTTTACGTTGAAAATCTTTTAAATCTGGATTACTGTAATGGTTGTACAACTCTATAAATTTACAGAAAATTATTGACTTATATACTTAAAATGAGTTAACTTGGTGGTGAATTTCTTTATAAAACTTATTTAAAAATAAAAGGAGGGGCATCTGAGTGGCTCAGTTGGTTAAGCACCTAACTCCTGATATAGGCTCAGGTCATGATCTCCCAGTTCATGAGTTCAAGCCTCCCGTCGGCCTCTGCTTCGACAGCGTCAAGCCTGCTTAGGATTTTCTCTCTCTCCCTCTCACTCTGCCCTTCCCCTGCTTGCTTTCTCTCTTTTTCTCTCTCTCAAAATAAATAAACATTAAAAAATATAATCAAATAATAAAGTCAAATAAAACAAAAGGAAAGAAAATGTTGAGCTAGCCCAATCAAATTTCCTTTCTGTGTAACCTTAAACAAATGAAAAACCCAAACAAATGAAAAAGTGATTAGCTGTGAAAACTGAAGCAGGAAGCTTTCCACAGAGTGAATGTGAGATAGTCATGACGACTCCTGTGCATACCTATGGCATAAGCAAACAGATGTTAAAAGTAATAAAAATTGATAGAGAAGAATGGAGAGAAGGAATGTGGGAGATCAACAGACCCCATGAGCAAGAATAAGCTGATCGTGAGAGACAGAGAGCGGCCAGACCTAGAGCTCCCTTGAGCTTAGACAACTTTCTAGCTCCAACCATATATATGGTCACTACAGGCACTTCCCAAATCCTGGCCTTCATGATGTGAAGTAATCTGTATTTTTAGTCAAAATATCCTGACTGGAAAAGCTAGTAATCTGCCATAACAGCCTTATCACATACCATCCATTATAAACAATAGAGAAATTCTTGGCATCTCCATAGTCCTTAATAAGAAGCAGCTATAGATGATTTACAGTCTCCAAGTCTCTTCTTGGGAGATCTCTAGGGTAGAAGGAGATGGCAAGTGGATGTGCAAGGCCCACTCTTCTCTAGAAACACATCGTGAACATCCATTTGCCCATTATATTATAATTCTCTTTAGCATAAAATAAAGAAGGTTACATAGAAAGAGCCTCATTTCATGCCATAACTGTGAACTAACGGGTTTGTTTAATGAGACAATTACCACATAGAGGAATTTGAAGTGAGGGCCATTGCTCTTTCATATGTAGAACATTTCCTTAAGGGAGTGTTTTAGCTTCTGATAAGTAGAATCTATTTTGTAGGCACGATATGTCTGTATGGTACCTTCAGCAGACCAAAACCCCATGTATTTCATATGATTGTCCTGAATATAAACAAGAATAAAAGTAAATATGCATCTGCAAAATGTCTGGCAGTTGAAGATTAAACTCAAATAATATGTATTCTGCACTAACACTCATTCAGTGACTGATTAGGAAAATGTCATTCAGGGACCATGGTTTATTAAAATTAGCACTTATACAGAAATGTGCGGTCAGCCTCATGAGTCCATTGAGACTCCTAATTTTACTTTGATTTATGCAGTAAAATGCTCTATGCATCTCTGTTCTGGGGACTATTGTATTCATTTAGCTTCTAAACACAGTTTGAAGTGGCTTTCTTCCAAGTAGCTTAAATAAATACACCCACAAAGCCATTTCTTGAAAAATAAGGCACCCTGGAGAGCAAGATAATGAAATAAGGGTATTTACCGCTACTCTTTGCATTTGCCATTCAATTAACCAGTTCTATAGTAAGTTCTTTAGATATTATTTTATAAAACTCATTTTGGGATAACCATTTCTCCTCAGATATCCCTTCTTCCTTAAGGTGCTCCTTGTTTAGTATGGAATCTATTTGCTTTTATGAGTTTGCACACATTTCCATTTGTGCCTGATGAAACCAGGAGCTATCCCAGATTCCTGGCTAGCATAGCAATGTTCCCTTTCTACCCATCACACACATAAATGTTCAAAATTAGTGAACCCAAGAGTGAGAGGCAGAAGGAGAACAAAGCAGTCTACTGGTAAGGGAAGGTTGAACAGCTGAAGCTTTATCTTCCCCTTAAACATAAGAAAATGGATTCTTTGATAGTGACTGTCAGATAAAAGCATTGTGGGTACATCATCTTAAGTGCAGATTTGGTTTCGAGTAGAGAAGAGTTAGTGAAGTTTATTGCTCTACTCCCTAAACAGTATGTAGATCAAAAAGAAGCAAGTCTTCAAAGCATTTATCTCTAATCATTTCCCATTCTCTTAAATTTCTGTGTATTTCTCCTATTTTACCCTTCAGTCATGTAGGTATCTGTAACCAGATTTAAAAGCAAGCACAGTACACACTGTAAGAGATTGGCAGGCAAAGGAAAACTATTGCTCTTTCTCTTGCTGGTGAATTCTCACTTGGCTGAGGAAAGAATGTGGAATAAGATTATAGGTAGAAGGCAAACTGAGATGGGCAGTATGCCAATACTTAAACCTCTATGAAGGCAAGGATGTGGTCAAAATACCTCTCAGGGTTTTGCCAGACCAGATTTTCTGCTACTACAGTGTACAATATTGCAGACTTAAAATCTGAGGGGAGAATCTGACTTTTGCCAAGTAGAAAAGAATAACATCTATAAGTCATCATTAAGCTATTAAGTAAGAGTAATAACATTTACATATAGTAAATATATATTTTTTCTTGCATAATTTATTACAGTTTAATATGGAGTCTATGCACAAAAAGCAAAGGAAATTGTATGATAACCAAATAGACATGTTAGATATACCGATGGCTAAACATGAGAATGATCTATGCCTAAGCCATGCTTTTTCAGGCACCATACCTGTCTTAAAATAAAAATTAGGCTCCTTAATCATGCCAAGAGGCAGATAGCTTATTGTTTATGAAGATGATTCTAAAGTGAGATTGCTTAGGCTCAAATAATGGCACAATCATTTATTTGTACTATGGCTTTTGATAAGCCACTTCACTTCTCTGTGCTTCAGTTTCCTCATCTATA